TTTTTTTTTTACTTTGAAAGCAATAATATAGGATAATAAACATTTCCCAAATGGAGGAGAAAAAAAAATCACCCATTATCCCATTTTCTTAACTCAAGTATTTTCACTGAAGTATCTTCCCATCTAATGTTTGTCTGTAGGTAGACACATTCTATGTAGGATGCACCGAGTTTGTATCATGCTAGCCTTCCTAGTTATGTTTATTGGATGCCCCATACTTTAATTTTCCCAAATTCTGTTCTTGGGCAGCAGTGTTGCTGTTGCTTTTTTTTGTTTTGCTATTATAAATGATGCCACAGTGAACATATTTGGGAAGATAATGTCGTCTTTGTTTTGAATTATTCCTCAGCTTAAAGACCCATATGTGATATTATTGCGTCAAGGAATATTTGGGTCTACAAATTAAGACATACTTTGTGAACACAGTTAAAGCTGGATCTACTCTTAGTCTAGACTTGTCCCTTTTAAGGTGTAAGTGGATCTTCCTGTTTGGGGATTAGCTTCACAGGTAACTTCCCTTCTTCCTTTGGCTTTGAACATCCTTGTGAGTTAGAAACTAGAGATTTCTGTTTTACAACTGAAATTTCTAGAAGGTGGAATCCTGGCTCTGCCACTCTGAAATACTGGTATTTACCTCATTTCTGGCATAGTAGTGGCGCCTCTGTGATAGACCCTCAAAACGGTTGGGCTGTTGATGATGGGTGGTTGCTTGCTTTCATGGCATTATTGGAAGAGTAGGAGATGGGTGATGTGCCACTGTTCTGGGTCTGAGGGAATGACGAAGCCATGAAGATGAGCAGGAAGAGTTTGACCCAGGTTGCTTTCATTCCTGCAACATTTTGGTCTTTTTCTCCTTTCCTCTTTTTTTTTTTTCCCCCAGGAAGCCAAAAAGAAGTATGACAAGGAGACAGAGAAGTATTGTGGCATCTTAGAAAAACACTTGAATTTGTCTTCCAAAAAGAAAGAGTCTCAGCTTCAGGAGGTAAGAAACTTTACTAGTGTCTGAATAAAGTGTTTAATCTTTCCATGGTGCTGTGGATACGTTCTGGTTACTCCCTGCTGGAGCTTCATTCTGATCCCTCATTCCACGCTTGCTGCCCGCATTGCCTTTGTCCCTTCCCGATGCAGCCACGCTGTACGGCTGTCCCGCCTGTCCACGGCAAGGAACATGCAGCTGGTCCAGATCACCCTAATCACTAGACTGTGCTTCTTCCTTTCAAACTGAGATCTGTTTTCCTGTTTCTCTCACCCTTGACCTTGATTCTGTACTCTATTACCCTGCCTTTCGACCTCCTCCTTACATCACTGATTTGAAATGTTAGCATCTGAAACACTTTGGTCATCCTTCCTTAATGCGAAATGAAAAAAAAAATTATTCCAACCAGTGCTTGACATTAGTCTTTTTATTTTTTTTAAGCAGTATTTTATTGTCTCATGTATTTTGTGCTTAGGTAACTTTGTTTCAAAAAAGCAAATTCTCTGGTCTGCCCCTGTTTTTTTTTTGGATTTGCATGGGGTCTTTTTTAAGAGTAGTTCTCTTGGAAAGAAAAGCCAGATTTGTGGCCTTGGAGCTGTGACCATTTTTATTTAGTTCATGGAGATTTGCATGGCGAGGGGGTTTATGTTTTGGGGAGACAGGGCAGTTTGCTAGTGGAACTCCAAACTTGGCTACATGAATATCATCTTGTTTAGCTCTTAACAGTTTGCTTGAACTGTCTCAGGTGTGTGCTAAAGCGAGGCTGTGGCTTCCAAGCTAGCCCTCATTCTTCAGTTTCCTTTCTTTTTGAGCAAATTCCTTGCCAGTACTTCTGTTCATATGAAGATGGTAGGGTCAAAGGTTGAAAGATGAGGATTACTCAGGAGATGGTGGAGCCCAGGATTTGTTACACACTCTCAGTTAGGAAGTGTTGTGCTCAGAACTCTTTCTGTGAAATGAGTGTTTGAATCAGTTGTTTGAGTGATGGATACAGACTTAGCAACAGGAAGTGTTTATTAGTGGGCTTTGCAGATCAGTTCTTGGCCAACCAACCAGCAGCAGTTGTATTTGGGCTGAGCTGTAGGAAGTAAGAAACCGCTGACCTTTCCTTGAAGATTTTTTGCTTGAGTTAGGGAGAAAGAAGCCAACGCAGGAGGAAGAGATTCTTGAAGTAGCAAAGCTGCTCTTGTCAAATGTGATTGAGAAGGTTAAGGAAATGCTGATTTTCATTGGATGATACAGAAGAGGCTATTCCCAACTCTACATGGGTCTGTGGGCACTAGGAGATACCCAAGGATATGTGAATTGTCCATGATAGATACGTACGTAATTCCGTTTAGGATCTGTCCTGATCGGTTATCATTCTTCTAACGTCATTTGGCGTTTAGGGTTTGGAAACGATAGGGAAAGGCATTTTGGCTGGAGCTCACAATCACCAGATCTGGCTAACTCTGTAGTTCCTAAGCAGTTAGGTGACCATGCACCATGAGTGCAAGTATTCACAGCTGAGAGAATATGTGATTGTCCTAGCACCTACTGGTACTGGGAGGCCCGCAGTACAGTTATCCTACCTGCATGACTTCCTCCCCAGAGTGAGGCTACTTTTCCTCCCGGTCTGCTCTCTCCATGCCTGGCTCCTGGTGAGTTGGTCTGGAATGAGTCCCACATTTTCTTTTAGGGCTGTGCCGATAGCATTTCCCCCTGAGATAGCAATATGGGGACCAGAACACTGGCCTGGCAGAGATACCTTCTTTTCAAGGCTTGCTCTGCTATGTAGTTGACTGTGTGACCCGGGACAAGTACTTGGTCTTTCTGAGCTCTAGTTCCTTTGTAAAATACTCATAGAATACCTGTCCTGCCTACTTCATGTATGAGAAGGTAAATTACAGCTGCTACACAAATGTAAAGTATTATCCCCATAACTGGCCTGTTCCTCCCCCTCCCCTGCTCCCAAATTGGATGACATTCTTCCTGGCTGCCTTAGTCTGTTCAGGCTGCTATAACAGAATACCCTAGACTGGGTGGCTTATAAACAACAGAAATTTGTTTCTGACAGTTCTGGATATCGGGAAGCCCAGGATCAAGGCACTGGCATATTTGGTGTCTGGTGAGGCCTGCTTCCCAGTTCGTAGATGGCTGTCTTCTAGCTGTCTCCTCACATGGCAGAAAGGGTGAGGGAGCCCCCTTGGCCTCTTTTGTAAGGACTCTATCCTCATGACCTAATCACCTCCCAGGGGCCCCACCCAAATGCGATCACACTGGGGATTAGCTTTCATCATATGAACGTAGTGGTGAGGTGGGCAAACATTCTGTCTGCAGCACTGACTGTCAGTATTTATCTTAGTGGAAACTTTTTCATTATGCTTTTTTGTTACAATCCTTGTCTTTTACCCATTCACACTTCCTAAATACTTTGAAGGTAAGGAGTGGGCTGCAGGTCTTTCTTGCAAGTCCTGGTCTGTTCTCAAGCGTTGCTTTTTATACCTAAGCTGAATTAAATTGAATAAAGAATCTCATTATAATAACAATAATAATGATAATATTTTTACTAACAACAACAATAATAGCAGCCAGTGTTTACTGAATGCATATTTATGTACCAGGCGCCATGTTAAGCACTTTACATGGAATCTGCTCAAATCCTCATAACCACCCTATTTACATAGGAGGAGACTGAGGCTCAAAGATGTTTAAACAGCCTGCCTGTAGCTCGTCAGCAAGGATTTGAACCTTGGCTCCTGACTCTGGAGCCGTTTCCCTTAACCCAGTAAGCTCTTCTCTGGCCGTCTTGTGGGGGAAGGATGTTGCTGGGCTGCCCGCCAGCCATTGTTATTCAATGTGGGTGTCAAGCTAAGGGAATTGGAGAGCGGGAGGGACCTTGGTGATCCTCTGGTTAAACCTCTTAGAATTTCGTATGCAGGACCTGAGTTCCTTGCAGAGGTCACGTGATTTACTCAAGGTCTTCCAGCTATTTAGTGATGATTTTCCTTACATTTTTTAAAAGATCAACTTTTAACAATATTATGAATCACCTACTACACATTTAACGGAAGCTGCTTCCTTTGATGGTCCAGAATTATTCCCTGATTGCAGGCCTGAATGAATACTTGTAAATTCTAGCCCATCCTGGACCTCTGGTGGCTGAAATGACTGGGCAGCGATGTGGAGTGACACTGCCATCTAGTGGAAGACTTTTTAAAAGCCAGTGTTTTCTTCAGTGGCTCAGAAGCTGGCTTCAAAGATAATAAATCATTCCTTGGACAAATTATTTCTTGGACGCTTCTGTGAAAGTCCGTTCAGGAGTTGGGTGTGTTGTGGGGAGTGAAATGAATGATCGGAACCTACAGTCTAGGAGAATTTTTCTTTTCCAAGAAGCACGGAATGGTTGGTGGGTCTTGGACAAGCTGGTAGATTGACAGCTTCTTAAGTAACAGGGCAGGGGAACTGCCTGCCCAGTGGTTGGATCTGGCTTCTGATTCCATCACAAGAGGAGCTAAGAATGTGGTAAATGCTATGGCCCATATGAGAGAGGCATTGGCAGGAACAACCTACCATTCCACTCGGGATTTCATCTTCCTTTTCCTTTGGAAATGCATTCTGTTATGCTTTTCTTCTCAGTGCTGGGCCACATAGAGATCAATTCATTTATTCCTCAAGCATCAGTTGAATGTTTGCTGTGGGCCAGGCCCTGTTCCGCGATCTGGAATGGAAAAGTGAGGCAAGGCCTTTGCTGTTATCGACTTTATATTCTAGTAGGCAGTACATGAAAAGAGAGAGAAATAAGTAAGAATTTCATGTAGTGATAAGGAAATAAATTGGGAGATAGGATAGAGACTCCCTGGGGTAACATACCTAAAATAACGCCATTGCAGGCTTCTCTAAAGAGGTGACATTTGAATTGAGACCAGAAGGAAGAGAAAGAGCAAGCTGGGTGAAAAGCTAGAACAATGTTCTTTAAATTGTGGGTGTGTCATAAGATCTGAGTTACTGGGTCATGACATAGAGTAGGCTAGAATAGAGTGAAAAATATGAAAGTGTGTTGCACCTAATTATAGATGTTTGTTTATTGGGTCATAATGTAAAAGGTATTTCTTAACTGTGCATTAAAGTTTAAAAAAATTGAATATTTATCTAGGGGAAGAGGTTTTCAGGCGGAAGGAACAGCAAGTGCAAAGATTGCATGGCAAGAAAGAGTTTGGAGTGTCGGAGGGTAGCTAGGAGCCCCAGCTGGAGCTCAGTGGGAGAGGGGTAGGGAAGGAGGGCTGGGCCGGTTCCTCAGGGTCTTCAGACCATGGGAGAGGCCAGGGGGAGGTGTTGAAGGAGCTGTGAGAACAGCTGATGGAGATTTTAGGAAAGGTATTCTGGCTGCTGGGTGGTGGCTGGATTGCGGGGGCAGAGAAAGAAAGCAGGGAGGCCCAGTGAGGAGAGGGTTGGAACCGCCCAGAGAAGATGTGGCTGGCTTAGGGTAGGAGCAGGGATTACAGCCCATCTGCTCAGATGTCCCTGGTGATAACCCCCAGTGTGCATAGAACACTTCCTGGTTTTCAAATGTCCACATCCTTTAGCTCATTTTCTCTTTGAAACAGCTCTACTCAGAGCAAGGGCAGATCATAGCATCTCCAGCCTTCAGGTGTGGGGAAGAGACCCAGAGAGGATAAGTGATCTGGAGCGGGTCCCACCAGCTAGAAAATGATAGAACTGCAACTCCCACCCAGATTGTTGCTCTCCTGGCTCTCTCACTGATGCTGGGCTCTGCTTTTCTTCTCAGAGGACTTTGATCCTGGCTCCTCCAGCCCCGCCTGACTTGCAGCTTTTCCGAATGACTTTTATTTCTGTTGTGTCTCACTTGGCAAGCCCAAGCAGAGAGGATGCATCGGGGGTGTGGGGGAGGTCAGGGAAATAGATGCGTCCCTAGGTGTAAGTGTGTTGGATTTGCACTATGAGAAATGAAGGACTACAGGGACTTAACGGGCCTTAGCCGGCAGGAGCCCAGGTGGAAGGTGTGTCAGGCACTGGTCCACCTGCTACACCTGGCAGGGGGCGTGATGCAAGCCCTTTCTGAAACCCGGTCTCCAAATAAAGCTCTGCCAGTGCTCAGACATCAGCTCTCCTGCTTGGAGGCTTAGGTGACGCCCCCAGGCTTAGCCCTTCATTTTGGTTTTGTGCAGCTGTTACTTAGGGGACTGCCTTCTGCATATTAATATGGAAGTTGCCCCGCGAGGAAGTTGCTAGCAGGAGACTTGAATGGAGTCTTTTGGTTTGTTTCATGGCACCTTGTGCTTTTCCAGAGTTTGTCATTTTCTTTTTATTTACATGATTATTTAATTATCTCTTTTCCTCATCATGCTGTGAACTCCGTGAATGAATGAATGAATGGCCAACTCCTTAAGATGTCAGGTTAGCAATACCGTATTTGGTATAATGAAGTAAAAGGTCTGTCCCAGTTTTGTTCTGCAGGAATCCTGACAAAGGAACACCGAAGGAAATACTCCTTTGGGGGCTTTGTCTTTGTAAAGTATGTTATCGGGTGACGTACTTGATTTCTAAAGAAAAGAGTGGAAAGGGTAAGAGTTTTATAGTGATAGCTAAGGTACTTGCCAGCACAGCATCTTGCTACTCCACACATGCTCATTTTCTCCCCTGGGTTCTGGATCCCAGATCAGCAGCTTAATTGTAGCCAGGTGTGGACCTTTACAGCCCACACACCTGCACAGAGAGGGAGGTGAGGTTCCCAGGCAGCAATGTAATTACTCTGCTTGGGGTAAACTAATAGTTCATCCTCGTCCAAAGAAAGTATGTGCGACCGTGTGAAAATGTTCTTTTCTGAGGTCCCCTGCCCCCTATCAGCGTGTTTTGTTCATTTAGAAGGATGGGAGGAGGATGGCCCTGCATGTTTTCTTTTTCTCTTTAAAAATCTGTCTTGCGTGGAACTTAGGTCGGCCCTAGGGTGTGGGGAGGCGGTAGAGTCTAGTGGTTTAGGAATGTACAGGGGTCTTGGAGGCAGATCAGCCAGGACAGAAATCCCAGCTCTGCCTCGTACCAACTATGCCAGTTTCCTTAATGTTAGCAGATTTCATTTACTTCCTGTACATTACGGGTAAGGATATCTTCTTTTTAGGAACTTAATGAGGGTTAAATAACTGAAAGTATAATGAGGATTGAATAAGATAATGATGTACAGCTTTTTTTTTTTTCTTTTTTTGCGGTACGCAGTCCTCTCACTGCTGTGGCCTCTCCCGTTTGCGGAGCACAGGCTCCGGATGCGCAGGCCCAGCAGCCATGGCCCACAGGCCCAGCCGCTCCGCGGCACGTGGGACCCTCCCGGACCAGGGCACGAACCCGTGTCCCCTGCATCGGCAGGCGGACTCCCAACCACTGCGCCACCAGGGAAGCCCTGATGTACAGCTTTATGGGCATGGTTCCTGGCACAAAATTAGCGCTCGGGTAACCATGATCATTGTTCTTATTTCTGCTTCATGCTACTGGATTTGTTTTTAAAAACCATCTCCGGAGATTTTTTTGCCTGCTTGCTGACTCCTCTCCTCAGATAGTGACCTGATTTTTCTCTGAAATTCCACCTTGTTTGCAGGCAGACAGCCAAGTGGACCTGGTCCGGCAGCATTTCTATGAAGTATCCCTGGAGTATGTCTTCAAGGTGCAAGAAGTCCAAGAGAGAAAGATGTTTGAGTTCGTGGAGCCTGTAAGTAGATGCTCAAGGTTTCATTGTGTACCCAGACTTTCATCCCCCACCCCCTCATTCCAACTACCTAGATGACGAAATGCTCTAAGTTGTTAATGAAGAGATTGACCAGCCCTGATGCTGTGCCTTCTGCTAGTAACAGTGCTTGGTCAACTGGCTACCCTGGGTTCTTCCCAGTACAGCCACAGACATGGGTGTAGAGCATTCAGCAATGGTTCCGTCCTCTAGCTACCTTGCGTTGTGCTGGTTGGTTACCAAGTCAAAGTAGGGGAGGGGGGGAGTTTTCATCTTGCCAAACAATAGTGATGACACCTTAACTTTCCTCCTTCCTCCCCTGCTTCTTCTCTCCTTCAGATAACGCAAATGTAGCAGTAACCCAACGAAACCATTCTCTTTTTGCCTCCTAAGTTCAAAGCCCCTCCTTATCCCAGTCATGTATTAAAAGATGCGATATAAAGCAATTTCTCACTCGAAGTTTGTTATAGCCAAGCAGCACGGAGATTGTTCTGAGTGAATCGTGATGGGATTTGGACTTGGGCAGAATGTTCCATTGGTCATGAAGGTTGCAATGTGGGGACACGTCTGGCTGTAGCTTAGGCCACCCCAGTGTGGTTGTGGTTTTGTGCAGATGTGGTATTGCTCTACCCCTCTGTGGCACTAGTGTTCCGAATCCATGGAAACACCAAATGAGCATGTGGGCCTCAATTTAAAGCTCTTGCAGATCTTGAGTTTTTCAGCTGAATGCAACCTCTGATCTAGACCCAAGCCTGGGGTCTCTATACAAATGAGATTACCTACCTAGATTTAAGAAAGTGATTTTCTTAAGCAAATAACAAAACCGTAAGAAACTGAAAGAAAATGACTGCTCTTTTTGGTCAAGAATGTTCTGTGCCCTGTTTCTAATTTATAAACTTTGGGGATGCTTTTTAGGCACGTAGACTTGCTGGTAGTTTCAAGACTCCATTTGGCCTTGGAATTTGTTGCGTCCATCTTTTACTTTGCTGGAGCTATTTTGATCTTGGGAGTCTACTCCCAGCCATGTCATCTGGCAGATTCTTCAAAGCTATTAATTACCTCAGTCTTATCTGAATAATGGAAACTTTAGAGCCTGCTTCCTTTCCAGCAATGATCTCTGCCAAGATCTCAGGTCTAAATCCACATCTTTCTGCAGGGTCTGTGAGATGGGGAAAGCCATCTGTCAGAGAAAGCAAGCTTGTTGATTTCCCTGCTTGGGGCCCAGAGGTGTTAAAACTAGCCATTCAATCACAGGTTGACTAAAAGAAAGTCTCATCTCTCTCTTGGCTGGAGCAGGAATTCAAATGCTGTCATGAAGAATTAGCCTTTGGCCTTTTTACTTGCTTTTACTAGAATTTCTAGAGGAAAAAAAAAAACCAGTGTGATTCTCATAATCTTTATGTATACTTTGGTCGATATTATTCTGTAAATACCTGATTTTGATGAGTTGCATTTTAATTGACCCATCCTATTTTTGAGTTATTTTTTTGTGTGTCCATTTTGATGTCTCCATATAGTGAATCAGATATCGTATCTGTTAGCTTTTGCTGGCTAACAAATAACCATAAAACCTTATGCAACAATAGACGTTTATTTCTCACGCATCTGTGGGGTTCATCTAATCTAGGCTGGGCTCAGCTGGTTGACTCTGCTCATCTAGGTGGGCTTTCCTCTCCTCCTCCCCCTCCGGTATCCTCCTCCTACCTTTCTTCCTCCTCTTTTTTTTTTTTTTTAAAGAAATCTATAAAGATTTATCCTTCTGTTTCCTGGCATGCTATTGTAGTATATCAGTGTCCTAGGTTTTTTGAGAGGCAGTGTAGCATCATCGTCAAGGGCTCTAGAACCAGACTGCCTGCATTTAAATCCCAGCTCAGCCATTTTCCAGCTACGCATTCTGGGGGAAGTTATCTTTTGAGCCTTAGTTTTCCCCTCTGTGAAATAGGTATAATAATACCAGTTATCTTATAAAGATGTTAGGAGGATTACCTGAGTTTATCCAGGTAAGATGCTTAGAATAGAGCTAACCTAAGTAACACCCAGTTATTATATAATTGCTTATTAGGACCCAGTTAGCGATTATTTTTTATTCTGAAGTAGAGGAATATATCAATTTTGGCCACCCAGGGTCTCCTCAAGTGAGCAAATGAGTCAAGTGCCAGTATTAACAGGGCCTACTTGGTTTAATATAGGCTTGGTAAATCTAAAAGCATTTATTTTCTGAATAGCATAGAAAATGCTGATGACCCAGCTGCTCTGTCTGAGGAGCTCACAGTCTCCTTGGGGAAGCAGTGTCTATGGTAAAGAGCTAGCCAAGGTAGCAAGCAGTTCAGTGCCAGCATGCATAGGATGGATGTACCAGAGGGATTTAAAAAGTAGAGAACCATTGTGGTTTGCAGATGTTTTTGAAGTCATAAAGTGAGGCACCTGGAGAGCTAATGAAAAAAAAGGTCTGGTCTCATGTTAGAGTGAAGAGAAAGTGGTAGGGGCTTGTCCTGAGTTAAGTTAAATGAGTTGGCGGAGAGGTTGGATGTAGATGTGTGCCCTTCACTTTTCTATAGACGTTCTTGTTTCTGAGCACACCAGTCGATAGACAGGTGAGTGGCTGGGGCTGTGGGTAGGGAGAAGAGAGTCACGCAATGAAAAAGCTACTGACCAGGTCACTGGTTCTCAAAGTCATAGAAATACAAATTCTCAGGCTCTATCCCACACCTGAAATTTGTGGGTAGGGCCCAGTCATCTATTTTTTTGTAAGCCTTCCAGGCGATTCTGCTGCACATTAAAGTTTAAGCCGCTGGCCTAGATTGTACAAAAGAAGAACGTGAAATAACAGTCGATGATATCAGCTGAAACTCTGTCATGTTCTGTGTGAGTAATAAGTGCTTTACCACATTATGTCATTCAATCCTTATATCATCTCTGAGGGTAGGTACTGTTTTTTGTTTTCAGATAAAGAAATGGAAGCACATTTATTTACTTCTGCAAGGTCACACCTAGTAAATAGCAGAGCTGTAGTGGTCTGACTCTTAATCTCTATGAAACAGCATTTGACTACTTAAGGGCGGAAAGGAAACAAGCAAAAAAATCGATTGAACTAAATCGTTGGGGTGCCTGGTGTGCATATTCATGTGTTGAGTTGGTTGCAGTCAAGGGAATCTTCCAGCCATTCAAGGAACCTCCATGTACATCAACTATGTTCATTTGTTTCTTAGAAAGTAACTTCAAGTGCCGGAAGTTATTGACCTTCAGAAAAAGAAACAAAATTTTAGTATGCTAAGGAAGAAAAATCAGACTCCGGGATCTAAACCGTGTATTTTTTGTGCGCCCTGGAAAGCTTAATTTTCTTGTTGAGGTACTAAATGTTCTGGAGATTGGGATCGCAGATAATGACATGACTGGCTTCACAAAGGTGAAGCCATATTCCGTCTGTTGTCTGAGTTTTCCTAATTGAAGGTTACCTACTGCTGCAGAGAGCTCACTCTCTACATTCGTCACGCTCCACAGCCTCTGAATTTCGCCTCCAGAGTATTTCTTGGTGCTGTGCCTTCCTGTCCTTTCTCACGGCTTCCGCCCCATTGCAGGTTGTCGTTCTTTCACTTTGGTCAGTGGCATCCTGTCCTGACCCTGTCTGCTGACAGTGCCTTTTCTGACACATCGGTCTGATTCTGTCCTTCTTGCTGAGCAGCCCCTGCCAGCACACCTGTGCTAATTAAGCCCATTACATAGATGATCTCAATCTCTACCATAATCCACTGCAGTAATAGGTTAAAGACAAGTTACCTGGCTTAATAGGTTAAAGAAGACAAGTTACCTGGCTTACCCAGCCCAGCTTTTCATCCCTTTACTGGCTGCCCTTCTCTTCGTCAGTGTGAATGAATGGTTCTTGGTAGCTGTATTCTTCTGCTAGGGATGCTGTCACCAAGTATCACAAACTGGGTGCCTCAGAGCAACAGAAATGTATTGTCTCATAGTTCTAGAGGCTAAAGGTCTGAGATCAAGGTCAGCCTGGCCCTGCTGCCCCTGAAACCTGTAAGGAAAAATCCTTCCTTTCCTCTTCCTAGCTTCTGGTGGTTTCCCGGCAGTATCTGGCATTCCTTGTTTTATAGATGCATCACTTCAGTTCCTCATCTTCACAGGACTGTCTTCTCTCTGTGTTTGTTACTGTGTCCAAATTTCCCCCCTTTCTAAGGACACCAGTCATTTTTGATTAGGGCCTAATGGATTCATTTTAACTTGATTATCTCTGTACAGACCCTATTTCCACATAAAATCACATTCTGAAATACCCGGGTTTAGGACTTCATATCTTTTGGGTTTGGGGGAAGAAATTCAACCCCAAACAGTAGTTCTATTCTATAAATGGAAAAAACTTAAATTTATCACGTAGTCCAGAATGGTGTAACCATCACTAATAACGCAGTTACATTTTTGTTTATTATTTTTTTAAAAATCTGTGTTATCAGCTAGGAAATAGGAATCAATTTTCTTACAGTTATTCTCAGAGGAAAACAAGGAAGGGGAAGAAGGCAAAGGAGGGTTGGGAAGGTCTTCCTCTGGCACTTCCTTTGCCACGCTGTGATTGCGTGTCTGGCTGTCCAGGGAGGAGCCTGGGTGGACATGCTGGCTTCTCTTACCTGATAACCAGGTGAGGCTACAGCAGGCGCTTCCTCTGTGTGTGTGAGTAGAACCATTTCTTTGAGGCAGACAGATCCTTGCATCTCGGGGGTCCTTCTGTGGGCCGTGCCCAGCTCCCTGAGCAGTGGACTTTCATTTCCCTTGGGGTCATAGGTTCAAAGATTCATACAGTGTGTGGGAGGTAGGGGAGGGGACGAAAGATGCTGTGAGGGGAGAAGGAAGGAAGTGGCCCAAAGATAACAATACCTAAGGCATCATTTCCTGTAGAAAAAAATGGACAATCAGCCATGATACCAGAGGAAGTGAAAACCAGAATAAACATTGGCAGCTCTCTGCCTTTGGAGTGCTTGTGTGTATACCCAGGTGACATCTTAGCAAGCTGTTTTGAGATAGTTAATTACCCTGAGTAAGAGAGGCCCTGTTGACTGCAAGTGAAGCGTAAATCAGCGTTAATAGAAGGAATGACTCGGGAATCAGCTGCTTATCTTCTGCGTTATTCTCCACTAGAGGGTGACTCAGTGCCCTGGAAAAGTGATGGGGCACAGCCTTCAAGGACAACAGGGAGGGAAGAGATAAGAAAGGACTGTTGTCCCTGTGAATACTGGCACTAGGTTTGGCATAAGAGCTCCTCCTTCTCCATTACTGGAGCCATTTAGAAGGAAAAGTGTGGGCCACGTTCTCAAAAATGTATTTTTTTTTTTTTTTTTGCGGTACGCGGGCCTCTCACTGTTGTGGCCTCTCCCGTTGCGGAGCACAGGCTCGGGATGAGCAGGCCCAGCGGCCATGGCTCACGGGCCCAGCCGCCCCGCGGCATGTGGGATCTTTCCGGACCGGGGCATGAACCCGTGTCCCCTGCATCGGCAGGCGGACTCCCAACCACTGCGCCACCAGGGAAGCCCTCAAAAATGTATTTTACATAGAGGACTTTGCAAAGACTTTGGTCATCTTTGAAGAAAAGAGTTCATTATTAGTCTTTGGTGACTCTCTGTGGCTTACCACCCATTCCTTAATTTAGGTGAAGGATGTATATATGGTGCCTCTAGATGTTTTTATAGCCAGAGGACCCAGCAGTGCCTGTTCCCTCTCCTCCTGTAAGGATCTAAGGGAACAGACGCTCCAGGGACAGTGGCAGCAGGAAGTCAAGGGGTCATATTGTTATAAGCTGGGGTTTTGCCTGACTTTCCAGTGCAGAGCTCTTTGATAACGTGGGCTGGGCATGTGGCTTTGTCTGAAGACAGGTCAGTATATACCTCGGTGCTTACCATTCCTGCCACAAGCAAAGTGTGAGAGTTTCCTTTACTCTCATTATTAGGGCTGCTTCTCAAAAAAGGAGAGTAGGCGAAACAAAGTGAGATTGTGTTTAGTAAGAAAAGGTATGTTCATTTAAGGACTAGAAGATTAAACGCAACAATATGAAGTGATGCAGCTGTGTCTTGGTGTAACACGTATTTGAGGCAGGTCAGAGGGGACAACTCAGACGGCGTGAGTTGGCGTTGAGAAGTTCCAGTTAGAATGGGGCTGGTCTCCAAATGTAGGAGAACTGAGCTTGTGATGGAGGTGAGGTTCTGGTTCTTCTGAACCTTGTTCAGGCTTTAACTATAATCCGGTCTTCAGGTTGAGATTTGGGACTGAGGCAGGATATGTAGAGCTTGGGAAGGGGCCAGGGAAGCATAACAGCAGTGAGGTTTACATATGGGCACTGAGAGGAGAGACGGCAGGAACGTTTATTTAGCTTGGAGAAGTGAAGGCTGGCAGGGGCTCAGGATGGGGACATTAATGGTTTTTAAGTATATGAAGGCATGTTGTGAGACTTGCAGTGAACAGATGTTTTCACTCTTCACTAAAGACAAGACGAAACAAGGAATGGGCTTACCTTTTAGGCTGTGACACTTTAAGTGAGAATTTCGGGAAACCACCTAAATGCAAATGTGGGAACATGAGATTATTTTAATAAAGGAGTCCAGAGCGTTTGCTTCTGGAGAGCTTCTGGAAAGTACAGAAACACACTTGAGCTGAAATCTGATCTGGATGATTTTCTTTGATTTGACCTTGCCTGTTAGACTGCAGACTCAGGACACACCAGCTTCCTTTTCTCCCTTCCTTGTTGGTTATCAATATAACCACACCCTTCTGCATGATAACCTGATATTATGAATATACTAGAAGGAGACTGAGTGGGAGCCCTGGTCTTCAGCTTCTGAAGAAGTGATTTTCTTGGGAGGGGATGAGGCTCACAGGGGAAGAGCTTGGATGTTGGTGCCAGGAGACCTGGTTTCAAATCCTGGCTGCCACTTACTGTGTGTTTTGGGGCAAGTTAGTTAACCTCTTTGAATCTGCTTCCTTACTGATAAGTTGGAGATGATAGCAGTATTCATTTCATAGGTTGTTATGAATATTTAGTGAGACACAGGGCATATGAAGTTACAGTGCCTGGCATGTAAGAAGTACTCAGTAAACGATAGCCATTATTATTACCTTATTCTAGACTTTCAGACCGGGGCTGGGAACGCAGATACAGCTCCATAACACCTTTTGAACCTGCTTATGTGAAGTTTGCCCTTCTGCCTTCATTACAGCTACTGGCATTCCTACAAGGACTCTTCACTTTCTATCACCATGGTTATGAACTGGCCAAGGACTTCAATGACTTCAAGACTCAGTTGACTATCAGCATACAGAACGTGAGTAGGCGAGGGGACAGGCTTCCTTTCCCTTGCTAAGGGAAGGAAAAACAAAATATGGGTCTGGTTGCATACAGATCACTTAAATGGACTGAGATGCAGGTGGGGAGGAGGAGTCTTGCTTGGGTTCAAAGGGAAGTGGGGGTCAGGCGTTTCTAGGGTGCTTGATGGTCCCAGGTTAGAGCATCATCCTCTCCTCTGTTATTTCAAAGCACTATTTATGTTCTCGGAAATGCTGCTGCTGATTATGTTTTAAATCTGTAGCGCCAGAATCAGGATTTCCTTTGGCAGTGGAAGTCCCAGCCCCACCCAGCCTAGCCTCCCTCTGTGCATCTAGCTGCCTGGCCCCATAAAACCATAGAGTGTGTGTGTTCAGGGGATGGGGATGGGGTACACGTGCTCGCCTTGGGCTCAAAGGATGTGCTGTTGTTCAACTCTCAGTGAGGCTGCCAGGAAATCCAAGTAGGTGCGCCTTACTCCCAATCTCCTTTCCCAAATCGTAAGCAGCAGGACCTTTGGGTGCACCGAATCCTGCTGAGGACTCTGGTTAGTGGTCACTGGGGCTCAAACCCCCTTCTTCCCTGTGTGATGGGGCCACTTTAATCTGCATGTTGTCTTTGTCTCTGGATGATCCTGTGTCCAAATAAACCCAAGTATGTCTGTGCGGGTTGGACTGCATGCTTTAAGAAGCCTGAGCTTGCCCCCTCATGGTTCTCTGCAGTGCCTCAGAGAACAGGAATTTGCAGGGTCTTGGATGAGCTGTCACAAAGCATGGCTTCCCTTGGGCTGGGTCCCTCAGAAGGCAGACTCTGAAGTGGAGATTTATACAGAGCAGGTCCCCAGGAGGCAGTGTTGGCAGAAGCACCTGTGACAGAGTGAGGGCAGCAGGCCCTGCCGGAGGAGAAGCTGAGTGGTGATGACTCAGCCGATGCCCTGGGCCCCCTGGAGCTGGAATGGTCCCTTGACCCTCCCCCTTTGGCCCCTGGCTTCGCCTAGTTGCTGGGTGCAGGGTGCCCTGGGGGAGGGGTAACCTTAAGTGAAGCAGCTCCATTTGAGGAGGGAGCCATCAGCAAACAGCTGGAGCAAGAGCATCTCTGTCCTGCAGGGAGGTGGAGGGCATACCCTGCTGTGGACCATCTGAGGAGTCAGAGTGGCCTGGGATGCTTGTTACAAATGCGCATGTCTGGGTTGAGAGGCACTAAGCTTATCTTTCGGGGTGAGAACTGGTCATTTGCATTTCCTGCTGGTTCCCCAGGTGATTTTGATGGTGCCTAGAGTTTGAGAGTCATTCTGACATAGGGCTTTAAGGCCAGAGTATATTTCTTAAAAGGGAACATTTTTGCCTGATTCCTAGATGGCTGAATGTTCCTTACCTGGTTGTAGATCTAAGAATTCTGTAGGTTGATGTTCTGAAGCGCTAGAGATGGGAACAGGGTTTCATTTCCTTGATTTGAATAAAATTCCTTTCATCCTAGACAAGAAATCGCTTTGAAGGCACCAGGTCAGAAGTGGAATCCCTGATGAAGAAGATGAAAGAGAATCCCCTCGAGCACAAGACCATCAGTCCCTACACCATGGAAGGGTACCTCTACGTCCAGGAGAAACGTGAGTGCTGGGTCGGCCAGCAGTGTGGGTGTACTCATGCCTTTTCCCAGGGGTTGGGGGGGGGTGTATCCAGTAGTGCCTGGCCCGGAGTACGAATTTCGATGAAGGAGAGTGATTTTATAGTTAGGTTTCCTAAGGGGAGAGATGCTGCCCACGAGGTGTTTACCTCCCAGTGATGTGCTATGTCTCCTTTGTAACTGGGAATTTCCTTGCAACCTGGAATTCATTGAGGCTCTGCGGTGCCACTTCTCTCCCTGGTGTCACTCTACTCTTGAGGTTCCTGTACCTTCAGTATAGCTTTATATTACCATACCCTTGGTGTAGAGGCCTTGGAAAGGTCTGGCTGGCTGGACCTTATTGTCATATCCTTCGGTAGACTTAATAACTGGTGATTTTTCTTTTCATTTGAGACTTGTTTCAGCAAGGCCCAAACAATCATGACTTAGGCCCTATCTCTCTCCTCCTCAACCCCTGTCATTCCAACACTTAAATTTTATGAAAAGTAGAAACAAAAGCTCACTTCAAGAGCCAGGAAGAAGAGCCATTGACTTGCCCATATGACATCAAGGAAAGAAATGCCAGGTGCTGCTAACCCAGAGTTTACAACGATGACTCAGATTCGTGCACTGGGCTATTGCACTCCCAGACTTAATTCATGAGTGCGGTGTTAGAGCTTAAAGAAAGTGCATTGTTTTTCTTTAACGGGTAGCTCTTCTTGTAGTCTCACACCTGTGCTTTCTGGCTGGGCACTGTTGATTTAGGATTAGTTAAATATCTTCACTCTTATCTGCTTCCTAATGGAACAAAACACTCAGTTTCAGTGATTGTTCTATTTAGTGATTACTCAAAAATTTCCTTGGACTTAAAGTTGTTCCCTGGTGACAAAGGTGTAGTAATGGGGTTGGAGGTTGGATCATCAGTTGTGATGAGAGTTTGATGTCCCTTATTCTTGCAGGTATGAGCTTGTTAAGGCTTGTAAAAAACAGAAGCTACTTTAGTTGTGTGTTATACCTGAATATATGGTCATATCTTCTTTGCCCAATGAGAAGACCACCCCCAAAAGTTTTAAGTCAACTTGAAAATAAAAATTTTTAGGACTATAAAAATATAGTTCAGTGTCCACTTATAATACTTAATTTATTAATATTGGTCACTTACGTGTAAAGTCAGTATAAGCACTCACATGACATTGTACAATTTTATTCAAACACTTCTTGTGTTTTTTCAACATTAATGTCTTGATTATCATTAGAACCATATTTTGATTCTCCAGCACAGTGGTCCAGAGCATATCATTAGAATACAGCTTTTTTTTTTTAATTTGGAAGTTTTGGTAACTTATTATTTTGAAGTACTTTCAAACTTACAGAAAGTTGCAAGAATACTATAAAGAATGACCATATGACCTTTACCCAGATTCATGAATTTTTACCATTTTTCCGGTTAGATCATCCTTTCTCTCTCTCTATGGGTGTGTGTGCGTATCACAGTCACACACACACACACACACACACACACACACACACACACACACACTATAATTTTTCTGAACCATTTGAGAACAGGTTGCATATACCATGCTTCTTGACTTCAGTGTGTATTTTCTCAAAACATTCGTTTATGTAACCACAGTTACATATCCAGGAAATTTAACATTGATAAGATATTTCATCTAAACAATATTTCATATTCCCATTTTGTCAGTTGTCCCAGTGATGCCCTTATAGAGCATTTTGTTTTCCTCCATTACAGAAGCTTGTACAGCATTTAGTTGTCATTTGGCGACTTTAATCTCCTTTACCCTAGAACAGTTCCTCTGATGACATTGACGTTTTTGAAGAATATCGGCCAGTTCTTGTATAGAATTTTGTTCATTGTGGGTGTGTCTGATGTTTCCTCATGATTAGATTCAGGTCATGCATCCCTGGTCAAATCCTACGTAAGTAATGCTGTGTTTTTCCCGGGTACCATATCCAGAGCAAAGGATGTTCCTCTGCCCTCTGTGGTCTTGTTGATTTTGATCACCCAGTCAAGGTACTTTCTGCTTTCCCCACTGTGCTGTCACTATGTTTCCCTTGTAACTGATAAGAGGTCTGTGGGGCGGACACCTTAAGACTGTGCCCTTCCCTCATCAGACTTAGCCTCCCATGGAGTTAGCATCCATTGACAATCCTGGCCTGGACTGTCCTTTACTGTGATGGTTGCAAAGTGGTGATTTTGCAGCTCTGCCACTCCCTCCACATTTATTAGTTGCCTTTCGGTGTGCTATAAGGAAGCGTCCTCCCCCTTTCTACCTCCCTCCTTCTCTCCTTTCATTCCTCCCTCCCTCCCTCCCTCCCTCCCTTCCTTCCTTTCTTTCTCCCTTTCTCTCTCTCTCTCTCTCTCTCTCTCTCTCTCTCTCTTTCTCTTTCTTTCTTTCATCTGTCTATCCATCCGTCTTTCTACTGTCAGTATGGACTTTTGAGTTCCCATTTTGTTCATTAAGCTAAATCCATTACTGTCCTTGTTTATTATGATGCTCAAAGTGTCCAAGATACAGCACTTTTGAAATCTTTGAGTTGTGCTGTCACTGGAATTTATTCTCTAAGCCACAGAAACACAGTTGAATGGTTGGTGTTTTCATTTGTCCTTGATGCTCCAGTGTAGACACTCTGTTGCTTTTTAAGTATACTAAGTGACATCCAACACTTGCAATGGGCATTCATACCCTGAAAAATAATTATTAAGTGTCTGCTAAATCTGTTTTCATGTTATCATTATTGTTTTTTAATCATATCTGCTATGTGATCTCTATAAGCATGCAGAACTCGTATTGATTGAGGTCCTTGCAGGCTAATAATGCCAATCATGCCTTCTTTCTCTAACAGTACTTTGTTGTTTGAAATAAGGTAATTGGCCAGGCACCTGAAAAAATCAGATACTGTCACAATTCGTCTGTAGGGCATCTGCCTCTTTCCTGAGGGATAATTTTGAGGGACAAAATCCTTAGATTACATTTGAGCATTTACAGTTACTTCTGTTCCACATGTCTGGTGTCTCTGGGTTTTCGTTGTCTGCTTTTCAGATCTTCTTGAGTTCTGCTAAAGTAAAAATTAGGGGTTTGGAAGTAGGTCAGAACCCCTGTACGTGTGTGCACGTGGTCGCAGAACAGCTGTGTGGGAAGCATGAAGCCATCACACCAGATGGGAACAGTGACAAGCGCTTTGAGGAGCTCTTCTGTGTTCCTTCTCAGTCATCTTACTCCTGTCAGGGGAGAGAAAGGAAACTTCAGATGGAGATTGATAATATGGGAAAGTGAATTAATTTCCCCAGGGAACCTCTGCTTCCCTTATATTTTAAGACCCATCGGATGCAGCATTTAGTGGCAAACAGTCTTCCTTGGTCCTTGGGGAAAGCCCTGGGTCGGTTCCATTTCCAGCTTGTGGAATCATATTTCTGCCTGTTCACGTCTAGCTGGTGTGGAGAGTATATCGCCCCTAGAAACAGTTTAAGGATAGGTGAGCATTGTGAGTTACTGGTTGTGTGTTTTTCCAGCATGCAGTGGACGTGTAGAGATGTTTTATGGGGAATATTACCTTGCAGGTCATTTTGGAACTTCCTGGGTGAAGCACTACTGTACATATCAGCGGGATTCCAAACAAATCACCATGGTACCATTTGACCAAAAGTCAGGAGGAAAGGGGGTGAGTTCATTTTTAAATTTCATGCTTGATTTGCTTGCTTAACATATGATGAGTATAATGCATGTTTGAAGTAACACCTCCAATTTACACTGTAATTTTCTTAATTTTTATACAGTAGTTCCAGGAGGCATGGCACCTGAAAAAGTAAATAAAACAAGATGATTATTTTGAGCACTAAGTTACATTGGCAGCTGCAATTAAGAAAGCTTTTTGTATTTCACACATATACAGTGTTAAGTGTGTATAATGTGTTTAGATGCTAGAAATTCTTGGATGACCTCATCCTGTGAAACTGATTCTTGTCACTCTCACCCAGTACCCAGAGGGCTGCCAGTTGGCAGTTTAGATGTCCCAATTATCTGTTGCTGTGTAACAGGTCACCCAAAAAATGTAACGACTTTGAAAACAACACCAGTCATTTTAGCATTTCCTACAGTTTCTGTGGGTAAGGTCTTTGCGGAGCATTTGGATAGATGGTTTGGGCTAAGGGTTTCTTATGCTGTTTCAATCAGATAGTGACTGGACCTGGATCATAAGGGTGTGAAGCAGCTCTGGGCTGGTCAGATATAGCTCTCTTCCTTTCTCCTGACCTCCTCTCCCATTCTCTTCCTTCTTTTCCTCTTGCTCTGTATAGTCTCAGGGCCTGTCCTCTGGCCTCTCTACGTGGGCTGTTTTGGGTTTCCTCACAGCATGGCAGCCTCAGGGCAGCTAAAGGATTCAAGAGTGAATATTCCAGCAACAAAAGCAGACCCTGCAAAACATTTTAATGACCGAGGCTTAGAAGTCATATTGCCTTAGGTTGGCCCCATGTGTTGGTTGAAACAGTCATAAAAGCCCACCCAATTTCAGTGTGAGAGGACATAGGCCCTGCCTCTTGATGAAAGGAGTATCAAAGTCACATTGCGTTGAAGAGCATGTGGGATGGAAGATATTCTTGTGGCCGTCCTTGGAGGAGATAGTCAGGCTGCATCTGCGGGGTCCCCACTGCTGGGAGCTCCTTGCTGTGCCCCAGTGGTTCTCCTTTCCTCTGGGAGCACTCTGTCTGTCTGCATTTTCTTTTTAGGTGATCTGTCTTTTCTCTCTGGCTCCTCATAATATCTTCTTTTTTTTTTTCTTTTGATATTCTACATTTCATTATGATAGTCCTTTCTGTGAATTTTTTTCTTTTTTTCCCCAATCTGTTGTGCTTAGGCATTTTGGCCTTTCTGGATTTGAGGATTGGTGTCTTTCAGTAACTTTGGAAAATTCTCACCAATTATCATGTTATTTTTGCCCACCTCCCCATTCTTTCTATTATTTAGTATCTCCTTCTGGAGATATTTAAATATTTTTTAACAAAAATATTTATATGTTTCATTTCTTTGAATCTCTGGACTCCGCCCTGGATAATTTCTTTTGTTCTATCTTTAGTTTAAGTAATTTTTTGGCTGTGTCTAATCTGTTGATAAAGTAGTCCTCTGTAAGTATTCCAACCCTGGCCCTCTTCTCTGTGGCAAATTTTTGTGCATCCTGTTGGGTTTGCATATGTGCGGGCATTACAGTGTAGAGGCTAAGAGCACTGGCCCTGAGGTTGGACTGCCCGGGTCAGTGATGTGACGCTGTTGTCATTACTGTTAGCTACTCCCCCGTGCTGTCCCCTTGCTCTCTGCCATTTCCAGCTTTTCTTCCTGGCTTTCTTTCTCTTAGACCACAATGCAGGAGTTGATCAGCATCTCTGTCCTTCCCTGTATCAAGGCAAAAAAAGCCAAGGCTCTTTTTTTTTTTTTTTTTTTGTGGTACGTGGGCCTCTTACTGTTGTGGCCTCTTCCGTTGTGGAGCACAGGCTCCGGACGCGCAGGCTCAGCGGCCATGGCTCACGGGCCCAGCCGCTCCGCGGCATGTGGGATCTTCCCAGACCGGGGCATGAACCTGCGTCTCCTGCATCGGCAGGCGGACTCTCAACCACTGCGCCACCAGGGAAGCCCTAGCCAAGGCTCTTTTAATGTGTCTTGTTAGCGGTAGAGTTGACTTATAAATAATCTCAGGAAAGCAGATATGTGAAAATATCAAAGCATAGAGAAATTACACAGTTAGGAGTATTAAAAATCTGTTAATAGGAGTTCCTTATTATTCATGAAATGGAAATAGAGTTAGATCTGCCTTTCTTGGGTCAAGTCATAGTCCTTTTCTAACTCCTAGTCCTTCTAGAAATCAGATTCACTGAGTCATTCTCTCACACAGTCTTTATTTTGGGACCATTTATCTTGTGCTTTCCTAAACCTGGAGTGAAGAGCTCTCTTGTATTTTCTCTACTCCTTTCTTACCACGCTTGAAAGTGAGGGGCAGAGACGAATTATGGTGTGTGTTTGGGACTCCTTAGACTTTAGTGGGATAATAGGAAACGCCTCACTGAGTTGTTAGGAGGCTTATATGCATTAGTGTACATAAACTTCTTGGGACTGAGCCTGACACATAATAGAGGCTGCCATATTAGGAGCTTGATATTATATGAAATAATTTTTCAAGTAATAATTACTTATATTTAGATTTTGTTTTATATTTTTCTAAAATATTGTCCTTTATCATCCTGTTTTATCCATTTTTCCTACTTTACAAAAGAGGAAATTGTGGGTCGGAGAGAGAGAATGATTTCTAAGGATGTATGTTGAAAGAGTTACTTTGAACCAGTGCTCAAACCCTGATTCTGGAGCCTACATCTCCTGATTCTGAGGCTCATCATCATAGTAAAAGAGAATAATACTGTATATGTGTAAAATAATAGTTTCCCATGACGCCACTCTGTTTCCTCATCCTCAGGGTGAGGAAATGTGAAGACTGGCTGTCCAGAGGTGATGTCTTCTCAATTTATACAGGAGAATCATGTGATGTCGTTGTATGTGTGCTTGTACAAAGCTCTCCTAGGACTGGCGGCAGACTTAACGTAGGATATAGGGTGTTTTCTTTTCCTAACACGCTCTTTCTCCACCCTGTCTCTCCTTCCCTGTCCCTTTCATTTGGATTATTTTCCTTTGAAAGTACCTGCTTTTCTCTTAGCTTCAGTCCAGGAGATGGGAGCGGATTTTCTGCATCCTCTTGGAGACAAGGCCTGTGTGTGGTGAAAGACAGTTCCCCGTGTTCTATCCTGTGAGATGAGGGTGCTCTCTGTGGGAGTCCTGGAGCAGCCCAGAGCTGACCCCGTCCCTTTCCTGGCTTGAAACCCTTCATATGTTCCCACTGCTCACAGTACACAGACCACAGTCTGCATGATCTGGTCCCTGTTTCCCTCAAGCCCTTTCTCAACCCAGTTTCCCTCTTGCACGGGGATTCCAGACACACTGGCTTCCCTTCAGTTCCTCCAGGGCTCCATGGACCCCCACCACTGGGCCTTTCCACCTGCTGTTCTCCACCCTTGATCTGGGTTCCTGGTTTTATCTCCTGTGGATCCTTCAGGTCTCAGCCCAAGAAAGCCTTTGCCGACCTTCCTGCCGAGGTCACATCCCTTTAATGTAGGCGTTTGTAGCACAGCATGCCTCTTTTTTTTTTTTTTTACATCTTTATTGGAGTGTAATTGCTTTACAATGGTGTGTTAGTTTCTGCTTTATAACAAAGTGAATCAGCTATACATATACATATATCCCCATATCTCTTCCCTCTTGCATCTCCCTCCTTCCCGTCCTCCCTATCCCACCCCTCTAGGTGGTCACAAAGCCCTGAGCTGATTTCCCTGTGCTATGCGGCTGCTTCCCATGCCTCTTTTATTGTAGTGTTTGTTACGGTTGTAACTCTTCATTTATTTGTTTAAGTGATTGTTATCTCCATCCCCTGCTTTTTTAACCACGAGTACTTGAACAGATCATCTTTATAGATTTTTCCTGATATGGAATGGTCGTCTTGGGAACAGCGTCTTATCTTCTTCTTATTTCTGCTTATATTTGACAATCTTTTATAGTTCCCCTGTTTTCTCCTATTTCTCAGGGACACCTCGCCCTAAGCTTTCAAAGTGAGAGGTAGTCCAACGCCATTAAATCAGAAATAGAGTTAGACATTAACATGGTTGACTTATAAATAACCATGTTTGGGCATTTCCATTCATACATTTACGTGTTGCAGAAGGAGCAATTCTCAATCTGAGAAATTAATCTTAGCCATTCAGTAAAAGACAATAGATGTAAGACTTGTGAATATAAACTGTCTTTTCCTAGGTCTTCTGTGTTTTGTGTGCTATTCTGATATTAGTGGGTGGTTAAGTTTTACTGTATGCAGTCACATTTCCTATTATTCAACAAACTAGGCAAGTTTGCTAATTTCCCCCCTAGTTTAGGAAAAAAGATTGGCAGATATAGGAGAAAAAGGAACCCTAAAAAATTCCTACGTGACAGGAAGAGAAGAAATCAGGGGCAGAAACCTCTGTGTTTTTAGACAATAAATTAGTCTTGTGTGATAAAACTGTTGCATTCCATTTGTACAATGGAATACTACCCAGCAATAAAAAGAAATAAGCTCTTTTTTTGTACCATGGATTTTAAAAATTGCCTTTATTGTTTTAATGTTTAATTTTTATTTTTTTATTGACGCATAGTTGATTTACCTAAGTTTCAGGTGTAAAACATAGTGATGCACAATTTTTAAAAGTTATACTCCATTTATAGTTATTATAAAATATTGGCTATGTTCCCTGTGCTGTACAATATATCCTTGTAGTTTATTTATTTTATACATAGTAGTTTCTACCTCTTAATCCCTTTCCCTATCTTGCCCCTCCCTCCTTCCCTATCCCCACTGATAACCACTAGTTTGTTTTCTGTGTCCGTGAGTCTATTTCTTTTTTGTTCTATTCACATTTGTTTTATTTTTTAGATTCTACAGTGATATTATACAGTATTTGTTTTTCTCTGTCTGACTTATTTCACTAAGCACAATACCCTCCAAGTCCATCCATATTGTTGCAAATGGCAAAGTTTCTTTTTTAATGGCTGAGTAGCATTCCTGTGTGTGTGTGTGTGTGTGTGTGTGTGTGTGTGTGTGTATGTGTATGTGTATACACCAATAATTTTTTTTTTAACATCTTTTTTGGAGTATAATTGCTTTACAATGGTGTGTTAGTTTCTGCTATATAACAGAGTGAATCAGTTATACATATACCTATATCCCCATATCCCCTCCCTCTTGTGTCTTCTTCCCACCCTCCCTGTCCCACCCCTCTAGGTGGTCACAAAGCACTGAGCTGATCTCCCTGTGCTGTGCGGCTGCTTCCCTCTAGCTATCTATTTTACATTTGGTAGTGTACATATGTCCATGCCCCTCTCTCACTTTGTCCCAGCTTACCCTTCCCCCTCCCCGTGTCCTCAAGTCCATTCTCTACGTGTGTCTTTATTCCTATCCTGCCCCTAGGTTCTTAAGAACCTTTTTTTTTTTTTTAGATTGCATATATATGTGTTAACATACGGTATTTGTTTTTCTCTTTCTGACTTACTTCACTCTGTATGACACACTCTAGGTCCATCCACCTCCCTACACATAACTCAATTTCATTCCTTTTTATGGCTAATATTCCATTGTATATATGTGCCACATCTTCTTTATCCATTCATCTGTCGATGGACACTTAGGTTGCTTCCATGTCCTGGCTATTGTAAATAGTGCTGCAGTGAACATTGTACATCACTACTTCTTTATCCATTCATCTGTTGATGGGCGCTTAGCTTGCTTTCATATATTGGCAATTGTATATAATGCTATGAACATTGCGGTTCATATATCTTTTTGAATTAATGTTTCGTTTTCTTTGGATATATACTTAGGGGTGTAATTGCTGGATCATATGATAGTTCTATTTTTAGTTTTTTGAGGAACCTCCATACAGTTTTATGCAGTGGCTGCACCAATTTACATTCCCACCAACAGTGTACAAGGGTTCCCTTTTCTCTACATCCTCACTAACATTTGTTATTTGTGGTCTTTTTGATGATAGCCATTCTGACAGGAGTGGGGTGATATCTCATTGTGGTTTTGATTTGTGTTTCTCTGATGCTGAGTGATGCTGAGCGTCTTTTCACGTGCCTGTTGGCCATCTGCGTTTCCTCTTTGGAAAAATGTCTATTCAGGTCTTCTGCCCATTTTTTAATTGGGGTGTTTGCTTTTTTGTTGTTGAGTTGCATGAGCTGTTTTTATATTTTGGATATTAACCCCTTATTGATCGTATCATTTGCAAAAAGAAATCAACTTGATTTGTACAACATGAGTGAATCGCAAACGAATTATGCTGAGTGAAAAAAGTCAGACGTAAAAGAGCATTCCATTTGTATAAAGTTACAGAATATGCAAACTAATTTGTGATGACAGAGAACAGATTCAGTGTTTGCCTGGGAATGGACTGGGTGGAGGGATGATAGATTACAAAGGGACTTACCAGGAACCTTTTGGGGCTGATGGAAATGTTCACTACCTTGATTGTGGTGATGATTTCACAGATGTATACAGATGTCAAGACTCATAAGTTGTATGTTGGACATGTGCAATATATTATACATTTAAAAATTATACTTCAATAAAGCTGTTAAAACATATTTATTGCACACCTACTCTGTTCCAGGGCCTGTTTGGTCTCTGGTGACACAAGGGTAAGCAAAAACAGACACAGTACAGTATGCCCTCAAGGAGCTTAGAGCCTAATGAGGAAAGAGACATTATTTGAATCATCACTTACAGCAACAGCAAATCTTACCTGTGATCAGTGCTGTGAGGGAAGGAGGGGTACATGGTGCTATATGAACATGTCTGGGGGTGTTTGACCCGGTCCAGAAATGTTTCCCTGAGAAGTGACCATTGAACCAAGGTCATAGAAATCCAGAGTTGGAAGGAGACCTCAAGGTAATCTTGTTTCAACTCTTATCAAACCTATAAATTAAACCTATTTAAGCCAATATCAACAAGAATTTAACCTAGCATGGGTTGATGCTGTACCATCATGATCTATTAGTACTCAAGACATTGGGTTCTAAGTATTAAACATGGCTTACAGATTTTATTTGCATGAGGCTGTGGTCTGAGAAGGTTTATGACCAACCTTCCACCTCCTGTGGTCCTGAACACTCACGTTTGAGAAGATGAAATGATCGATTCTGTTTATGTGCCACGTTTGTCCTGGAGAGGAGCATGGCCCGAGTTCTGGCCTCATCTTGATAGTCTGTGTGTTCCCAACAGGGAGAAGATGAATCAGTCACCCTCAAATCCTGCACACGGCGGAAAACAGACTCTATTGAGAAGCGGTTTTGCTTTGACGTGGAAGCAGTAGACAGGTGAGTAGTTGTCACACTTTTTCTCAGGAACAAACATTGCCGAATTTGGATTTCTTTTCCATTCATTCAAAACTTTCTGTTTTTTTCCCCCTCTTTCCCCTCCCCAAATAGGCCTCAGGCCAGTTACTGATTTGCAAGAATCAGTATAGCCTCCCCATTCTATGGATTCAGCCCTGAGCCCCTGGTTGGTTGGTTTAATGTCAGGGCTTCCCTTCTTGGGAATGTGTGTTATGTCTCAGGAAGATGAATATATGTTTAAAGAAAACTGTTTAGCATGACTGTTTCAGCTGTTTAAGACTTTTTACTTAAAAATTTTTATGTAATGATTCAAAAGGAGTTATAGGTAAAGGGAAAAGTGGAAGAAGTTCTATCAATTAAAGAAAAAGCTTTTTTTTTTTCGGTACGCGGGCCTCTCACTGCTGTGGCCTCTCCCATTGCGGAGCAATAGGCTCTGGACGCGCAGGCTCAGCAGCCATGGCTCACGGGCCCAGCCGCTCCGCGGCATGTGGGATCTTCCCGGACCGGGGCACGACCCCGCGCCCCCTGCATCGGCAGGCGGACTCTCAACCACTGCGCCCCCAGGGAAGCTCTGCTTTTCATTTTTCTTTTTTTTTTTTTGCGGTACGTGGGCCTCTCACTGCTGTGGCCTCTCCCATTGCGGAGCAATAGGCTCTGGACGCGCAGGCTCAGCGGCCATGGCTCACGGGCCCAGCCGCTCCGCGGCATGTGGGATCTTCCCGGACCGGGGCACGACCCCGCGCCCCCTGCATCGGCAGGCGGACTCTCAACCACTGCGCCCCCAGGGAAGCTCTGCTTTTCATTTTTCTTTTTTTTTTTTTGCGGTACGTGGGCCTCTCACTGCTGTGGCCTCTCCCATTGCGGAGCAATAGGCTCTGGACGCGCAGGCTCAGCGGCCATGGCTCACGGGCCCAGCCGCTCCGCGGCATGTGGGATCTTCCCGGACCGGGGCACGAACCCGTGTCCCCTGCATCGGCAGGCGGACTCTCAACCACTGCGCCACCAGGGAAGCCCAGAAAAAGCTTTTATGAGAGAGTAGCATTGACATGTAGACACTACCAAATGTAAAATAGCTAGCTAGTGGGAAGCAGCCGCATAGCACAGGGAGATCAGCTCGGTGCTTTGTGACCACCTAGAGGGGTGGGATAGGGAGGGTGCGAGGGAGGGAGGGAGACGCAAGAGGGAGGGCATATGGGGATATATGTATACATATAGCTGATTCACTTTGTTATACAGCAGAAACTAACACAACACTGTAAAGCAATTATACTCCAATAAAGATGTTCAAAAAAGTTTTTTTTTAGTTACAGTATTTCGCCTACCACTGTGTGTGTGCATCCAGGAAAGAAAGCAAACCGCTTTCGACAGCAGTCTTAGGAGAGGGAGCTCTGTGTTGTATTCCTCAAGATTTACAGTCTCATTAAGTTGTACCATTTCATGGTGTTAAGCTAGTTTGACAGCATTCCAGTTCTTTGAGACACTTTACTTGGCAACAGGTTAATTCTTTGAATGAAAGCCACGAGTTAAGCTTATTTGAGCTGTCTATTCAAGATCATCAGTGCTAGCACAAAGATCCTTAAATCTCATCATGATTGTCCTATAATGCTGTTAATTTATCCCCTTTATTTTTTATTTTTTTTTTAAAAAGCTACACCACTTTGTCAAGCCAGTATCTACCCTCTCTGGGACGTTTACCTGTGGCCACTTTATGGCAGCTCTAGAGGATCTGGAGCGTGAATACCACCTGGCGTGGGCTGCACCATGTGCTGCCAGGTTTGAAATGCCTTCTTGAGGCATGGTGTGTCCCTGTGTTGTGGCCCCTGAGGCTGCTAGAGCGCCCGTGGAGAGAGCATGCCTGTTTAGCCTAAATCAGACGTTCATGGAAACTAACCGTGTCTGATTAGCAGTCTAGTTATTACAGCTTTGGCTCTCAAGTCAGGCAACCCGGATCTAAATTTTAACTTTGCTGCTTAGTAGCCATGTGACTTCGGGCAAGTCACTTAATCTTGCAGGGCCTTGATTTCATTTTCTGGAAAATGAAGATGGTTCTAGTACCTGGTTCCTAGCATTGTCAGGATTCAAGAAGAGAAGGCATATAAACACTTGGCAGAGTGGCAAATACTAAAAGCCCAACAGTTAGCCTTTATTATTTGTTAATTAGCATGTCCTGCATGTTTACCTGACTTGATATTTCAAGAGCTAGACTCTAAATGCAGAGCAGTCAGTATCATTTGTAAAGAAAAGAGAGTACCCCAATCATTCACCATGTGTGGGTTGTGAGAGGGGAAGGGAGTGGAGAAGGGCTGTATGGTGGGGTAGGTGGAATTGGGGTAGCAAAGGGGGATTGCAAAAAGTGTGCCTCAAACTAAGATTATGCTTGACTTTAAACAGATCCTGAGTCAGGATGCTTTAAGCCCTTGTAGGCATCTCCTCTATTCTAAGCATGGCATTTACTGGAGTTCATATTGTTGGAATCCATGAAAGATGGATTAGCAGATGTGTTTGTGTGGAAATGGAGCCAGTCGTTTGATGCTGGTCAGCTGAATAGTTCCCAGAGATGATCGCGTGTTTTCAGGGCTACCTGGGTGAGGGCAGTGCCCTGCATTGCAGCTCTTATTAGATTTGGAAATGAGGTCAATGATTCTTTCTGAAGCTGAATTGTTTTCTTCTTCAGAAGTCTCCCAGAAGTTGCCGAGAGTTGCTTTTTAGGCAATTAAAACTCACCATGGTTCCTCCATCTCATTTCCACCCTTACCAACACTTCCTACCACCTTCCCCCTGTATTATGCCCAGAAAAGCTTTGCATGTTCCAATTATAAGCTGAGAGTAAATGTGTCACATTCAGCATACTGAGTGGGTTTGGGAAGTCGATTTCTTCTAGGTCATCATCTTTGGTTCCCTTGGCATGAAGTGGAGGGGCTACAGTTGTGGTGCAGAAAGAGCCTGCTAAATCTCCTCTTAATAAGCAGGAGGGGAGTAGATAGTACTGTTGTATTATTTGTGGTTTTGATGTTCTGTGTATTGTGATGCTTTCTGCCTGGGGAGAGCCTGCCCCCTTAGGGGCCGACCAGTTCTTAGAGTCAGCCGAGGGCTCAGCGTGGTGAGCGCCATTGATGTGTGGACTTCCGGTCCAGAGCCACAGCACCTCTACTGGCTCCAACAGCCCAGGAGGCAATATTCCTCTACCAGACACCTAGGGACCACTCCCACAGCCTATTAGCACCTGTGAAATTATTCAAACCAGCCACTCCTAAACGGTTTACCTATCCCTGCCTTGCCTTTGCTGCAGAAACTCTTAACAAAGGTCGTGGTCTAGGCTCTCCCCTCCGACCACTTCTGCCTCCAGGATGGTGCTGGTGCTTTCCCATGTGGCCCTGTGTGGTGAGCCAGGTGTCCTCTTTCTAACACCTGTGAATATAAGAAACTTGGTTTGCCTGAGCCCCTTCTGTGTCTCCTTTTGTGGTCACACCTGACTGGCCATCACCCGAAATAACACAGAACATCAATGAAACCCCTTCTCTCCATTTTCTATATAGGTTGTTGTCCTTGGTCTCAAAGATTAGGTTACTGCTGGCAGTATTTTCTTTAGTGTCTTTCTGCATTTTCCCCCCACATCCAGGAAGGGACTGAGGTGAGAGGGAAAAGGCATTTCCACACACTCAGGGGAGGCATTCCTGGGAACTCTGCCTGGAGTCCTGTTCTCTGGAAAACTTCTACACCTTGCTTTTTCACTAGAGTACTTTAGTAAAGAGGGGATGTGCTGCTAGCTGTCGTACTGTCTTTTCAACCTTCCACAGACTTCTCAGCTTCTGCCTGCTGAGCTGGATAGGCAGAGGGGCAAAATGCAAAGTTTAGCACCTAAGAAATGTGAAAGTAGAAGAGGGAATGGTTATATTTAATAGCATGAGGTTTTAGACTGTTCCCAGAGTATGTTAACTGTAGCATGGATGAGCATTATGTAGCATCTATTAATGTTTTATTCTATCAAAATATTAATACATGCTAAAGTGTGGATTATTTGACTTAGAATATGTGATGATGTGTGGTTTTAAGGTTGAACACCTTTATCCTTCAGGCTCAGTGATGTTTCACGTTGCTCTGTAGCAGAAGCTGTAGCCTTTAGGAAGTGATGTTCTAGGAGGTCGGGGTTGCAAGCCGATGACATCAGTGTCTCTCACTGTGTGGTGAGAACCACTCACTCTCAGCATCCACAGGGGTGCTTGTTAGAACTACAGCTATAGGCCCCAGACCTATATAATCTGACTTTCTGCAAGAGAGACCCTGAAATCCACTTTTTGAATAAGCTCTTCTGTTATCCTCTATTCTTAGTCAGAACTGGTACATTAAACAGCAGGCATATCGCAGTACAGTTTTCTCAGAGCACATGACAGCATTTTCATTATTAGAAACATAACAAGCAACAGTGAAACAAAACAAAAATAAAAAACCCTCAGACTTCTTTACTAAGGAGCTTAATTCTTAGCCTTGTGGAGGAGGATATAGCTAGTAGTAAAGGTGATCGCCAGCCTCTGTTACAGGTTACCAGGGGAAAAGCAACAACGGTAACCACAGTAAAACCCACTTTTTTAGTTAACTATGGAGGTGGGGTGAGGGGACCAGCAGTAAGGGAGCACTTTCTGGAAGCTGAACACTGTTCATGTATTTCATGTAATTCACATGTAATCCTCACTACAGCCCAGGGTGGCTTGTGCTCCAAGTATCTCATGGTACTGAGGAGGAATCTACAGTTTAGAGGGTGAGTCTTACCCAAGTTTCAGGGGGGATTTGAACTGAGGGTCGTAGGACCTCACTGTAGGGCACTTTGCTGCCTCAAAACTCAGGGTTTTTAGAAACATTTCGAGTGATAAGCCCAGTGCTATCTGTACTTGGATTTCAGGGCCACCCACTGACAGTCACCTTGCTGACTATGAAATCTGAGGAGGGCTTTCTCACTCTAATCATTGGCATTTGGTGCGTAAACT